TGGGCAGATCACGACCATCCTGGCCAACATGGTGATACCCCGTCTCTACTAAAAATACAAAAATTAGCTGGTTATGGTGGTGCGTGCCCGAGTCCCAGCTACTCGGGAGGCTAAGGAAAGAAAATTGCTGAAACCCAGGAGGCGGAGGTTGCGGTGAGCTGAGATTGCACCACTGCACTCCAGCCTGGCAACAGAGCAAGACTCTGTCTCAAAAAAAAAGAAAAAAAAAAGAAGGAAAAGAAAAAAGAAATACAGATGACTGGGCTAATTGGATTCTCCCTCTTAGGGATATGAGATTTGTATGGAAAGACACAGAGGCCAAAATTCCACTGAAACTAAAACATTTTAAGGGCTGCATACTACAGAATAAATCCAAGAACACATCTTTGAGAGATTTTTGGAGCTGTCCTTATTATACTGCCTTCCCTTGGCTTGTATCAGTCTGTCATTGATTCTATTACTTACTTCAGTCAGTATCCCTCCAACAAATCCAATTATTTTTGGTCTAGATGGCTGAAGTTCATTTCTTTAGATTATAAACAACAACAACAAATAAAACTAGTATGAGTGTATGACTCTTAAATGGGGCTTCAATATTTCACAATCTTTGATTGCTGGAGTCAGGCACACAATGTCTATTCTAAAAGTTCTAGAATTTTTCCACAATGTCTCTCTGAGGGGGAAGTAGGAGAAAACATTTCAGTCTTAGAGGAATCATTTTGTGGTGTACTCTTGGTCATGCCTATGGGAGTCAGGTACCTAGCCTTTGTTTTTGAGGGAGTTCTAGTTATTGGCAAAGTCATCCAAGTGCAAGTATAAATTTTTTTTTTTTTTTTTTTTGAGACGGAGTCTCGCTCTGTCACCAGGCTGGAGTACAGTGGCCGGATCTCAGCTCACTGCAAGCTCCGCCTCCCGGGTTCACGCCATTCTCCTGCCTCAGCCTCCGGAGTAGCTGGGACTATAGGTGCCCGCCACCTCGCCCGGCTAGATTTTTTTTTTTTTGTATTTTTTAGTAGAAACTGGGTTTCACCGTGTTAGCCAGGATGGTCTCGATCTCCTGACCTCGTGATCCACCCGTCTTGGCTTCCCAAAGTGCTGGGATTACAGGCTTGAGCCGCCGCGCCCGGCCGCAAGTATAAATTTTTAAATATAAATTTTAAAGGTTTCATATGCCAGGTTATTGTCCCAAATGCACATGCAAAAAATAAGGTGTGTATGATGAACTAAATGTGGGCCAACAAATTAATCAGAAAGTGTGTGTAATTTTAGACAATGAATTTTTTTGCCTCTCAACCTAATGTACAGTTATTTCCAAGTGAAAGGAGGAAACTGTATCTCAGGGAATTATATTTAGATTGTCTTCCTTTTTTCTAAGAAATAAAAACTGAGTTAAAAAAAGAGAAAATTTAAATTCAAATGGGCAAATATATTTTGTCAAATGTATATTTTTACATTTTCTGCTAGAGTTCAGAAGTTTTGTCAGAATAGCTTGCAACCCTGAGGATTCTACTTTCAGACGTTGTCATAGTGGTAGGAATCACGCATTTTCCAATTAGTTGAATACTTCATGAAGAGATAATATTTTAAGAGTCTAAAAACTGAAGAGGCACATATAAAGACTGGATTTAGGCATCAGGATGAAAAGATGCATTGCAAATTCGTCAAAAAAAAAAAAAAAAAAGCAGATACATCATCACTGAGAAGTAGAATGAAAGCAGGTATCTCGTGATACCTTCCATCTTCCGTGTTCCTAAAGGCATATTTTAAAAAGTGGTTTTACTTAACACGAGCTCTTGTTTTCTTTTTCCCCACATATTTTTATACAATATAGCTAAATTTCTTCTTCATGTGTTACGAGTAAAAAAATCTGTTTTCTATTACAATTCAACGTGTATTTGGTTGAAATTGTTTTTTAAATGACATGTGACCTTCTGGGGAGATTCTTCTTTAATAAAAAAGATGCTATTATTGAGAAGCATAAAATAAATGCCAGTCCACAGTCCTTGCATACACACAGAAAGAAAAACAAACATATTCCTTAGCAAGAATACTTTTTATTTTTTGTGGTAGAAAAAATAAATAAGAAAACATCTTTTGCTCTTTTCCTGCTAGGGAACCCATTTAAAATTAGTTTGATAATCAGAGGGGAAAAAATACAAACACATAGGTGAGAAAGCTCTGAAAAGATGAGTAGTGAATAAGCATTTCATTTTATCTTAACTGGTATGCAGGGGAGGACACAGGTTGTGTGGAACCTGAAGCTACGCATTTGGGGGGGATCTGCCAAATATCTATCAGTAGTACTTTTTACATGCCGAATGTAGCAGGCCTAGAGGGAGAGCAGTCCAGATATAAGCAAAAGAACAGAGGGCTCTGGGAAGGAAGAAACAATGGTACAGTGAGAAAATTCCTTCTGTGGCATTCAGCTTTCCTGTCCAGGAGCCTCAGTTACAGGCAGAGTTCAATCGGAGAAGCAGAGCTTGTAGGATAATAAAGAATTTGACTTAATACAACTGTGGGAGCTGGTTAAGTACTCTTTGAAAGGAAGCTGTCTCCACAGATGATGTTGGAGCTTGAAGTACGAATCGCAGTTAAGTGAGAGCGCAGATGAACGAAACAGAAGCAGGAGCTGGAATCTATGAGGACGGACTGAAACCTGTGTCAGTTCTTGTTGCCTCTGACCCTGGTTGATGTGGGTGTCCTGCAGAAGCCAGACCATTTGTTATGTGCTAAAGGAGGCTCCAAATTATATCGATAGGGAAGTGAAACAGCTGGAGGCTTAGCCACTATCCTAAAGCCAACGAGATACGTGACAGCATGAAGGAGCTACGAAGATGGCTGCCACTTCCTTTCTGCCCGCCAACTGCTCCTAACGGAAAACATCAGGCAAAAGGAATTCTGGGAAGTCTAGTTCAGCTTACCCAAGTTGACACATTACAAAGCACCTCACTTTTTCTTGGTTCCTTTTCTTCGTCTTTCTCTTTATCCACCTTTACCCTTATTTTTCTGATTCATATTGTCAGAATCTTTCCCAGAAAGTGTATGTGAATGTGGAACTATTTCCTGAGCATCTATTAATTTAAACTTTCTGCTAGTTACATCAACAATGGTAATATTTAGGTTAACTCACTAGTAAAATTGGTTTAGTTTTATTAATTTTAAAATGCTTCTCCATAGAAATTTCTGAGACCTATATTATGTGCAAATAAATTTTCTAGTTTTTCAGGACTCTGCCTGAGATCACATGGAAACCAACATTTTAGGAAGAATTTGATTACCTCCACCTGAGGAGGCTCTGCTAGTTGTGTGGAATGAAGACTGTTCTTAACAGCCCCTTTCGTTGATACCTACAACACACTCCATTCTAAATATTTTAATAAAAGGCACATTTGAAGTTTAAAATGTTATTGTCATCAGAGCATGGAGTTTTATAACTCCCATAAAAATGTGCCTCCTGAACTAGGAGTCAAGTTTGGAAAAAATAACCACCAGAAATTTATGCTAGTAGAATACAGTCAAGGATACAAGATTAGTTGTCTGAGTCTAGTTCCTCATGCAGCCTTAAGCAGACATGTTCCTCGCTGCAAGCTGGAGTGGACTGGAGGTGGGGAGATCTGGATTTAAACCTTCCCACGGGGACTGGGTCAAGTATCAAATAGTAGACAGGTGTTCAATCCGGCAGGCACAATACAGGGTCTAGAGGGTCTGGATGAAAATTGTGCTGTAACTGATGTATTAATTGAAGAGTTCTCTGAATAAGGTCTTCCAAAAGGAGAAGGGGAAAAAAAAAATTGACAGTGTCCATTTAATCTGTTTGGGAGCCTCATCAGCCTGATCTTGATGGGACTGTACCTGTGGTCCTATTATATCATTCTTTTCTTGTACTTCTTTCAGCCAGTGATCTCAGGTCTCATTCTCATTTCATAGCTGTGGTGCAATTGTGCAAGGTCACAACTTTTTCTTTTCTTTCTTTCTTTTTTTTTTTTAGACAGGGTCTTTCTCTGTCACCCAGGTTGGAGTGCAGTGGCATGACCTCGGCTCACTGCAACCTCCGCCTCTTGAGTTCAAGTAATTCTCCTGCCTCAGTCTCCCGTGTAGCTGGTACCACAGACGCCCACCACCACACCTGGATAATTTTTGTATTTTTAGTAGAAACTAAAAATACATGGGGTTTTGCCATGTTGGCCAAGCTGGTCTTAAACTCCTGACCTCAGGTGATCTACCTGCCACAGCCTCCCAAAGTGTTGGGATTACAGGCGTGAGCCACCGCACCGGTCCATAATTTTGACCTTTCTTGGTGATACTTCTTCCACCATGTTATAGCAGTACATCCATGGAGTAATGTTACTCCAAGAAAATTTGGCTTTTGGAATTCCTCCACAAAATATTGGCCCTAGAGTAGTCCTTACTGTCTGATGAGCTTTTGCGAGTTTCTCCTGAGGCAATGATGCCAGCCCAGTTTCCGAAAGACAGCATAGTCTACCTTTAGTAGAGAAGAGCAGAGATTCTGAGCAGGATTGCCTTTGAGCCCAGCTACACCTCTTGATAGCTGTGTGACCTCATGCAATTCACTTAAACCTCTGTACCTCAGTTTCCTCATTTGTGAAATGGAGATCATTAACAGTACCTACTCATAGGGCTGTATGGCTGAGTGAGTTGATATAATTACCATTTTTATCACATTATGAGTATACCACATGTTAGCTGCTGTTAGTATTATGTCCCTCCAGTGAGGAAATAAACACAAGGCTAAATTATTGCTTGAATGGGGAGCAAGCTAAAGGCATACGAGAAGGAAAGGTAAGTTTGTATTTCAAAATATGTCATTTTACCACAGAGGTAATTATCGAATTAGCCAAATAATCCCATATTTTTGCTTTTGAAATTTAACATTAGCAGCTTGAATTCTCTACAATTATGAATGTATCATTTCCACTTGTGTGTGTGTGCAAATCACTTCAGCCTAATTGGCTTTTTCTTCTTCTTCTTCTTCTTTCCAGTAAATCAACAGGATTACGTTTCCCTTAATAATTTTCAAAATGTCCACATGAAGGACAGGAAGATGTTTAACGGGAAGACCAAACATCATCAGTGCTCAAGTCCAGTAGATAACAAAGAACAGAAAGAAAACAAAACTTTGGTATTTTACTGGAATCTGAGTGAATAAATAGGGACCACAGGACAAACGGCAAACAACTGCTTGAGTTACATCAGAGGGAAAGAAGAAATGAGGAACTCGGATTTCCAGTATGAAACTGTTATACAATATGATTAATGGAGCTAACAGTTGCCTATTACACTTTAGAAAATCTTCTAGAGGATTTTAAAACAAAAGGAACACCTTGTCCAGAGTATAATTGATGCTTCCAGTTAAATTTCACAATTTTGCACCTCAGGGAATACTTTTGTTTTTCTTAGACAGCAAATAAACTGACCATGTCACCTTGGCAATTATTAACCTGCCTCATTTTTCATAACTAGGAAAAATTTGGCTTATTTCCATATTTTAGTTGAGATGACATATTAATTCATATATTTATGGGTAAAATGTTATTATCCTTAATACAAAGCAAAGTTTCAGCTGGACTTTGGTTTTACTTAATCTTCAACGGAACAGTATTGATGTTAAAGTACAAAAATTCTCTGAACATAATAATAAGTTTTAAAATATATATATATGTTTATAAAGATATATTATTAGATCTTTCACAAAAAGTCATACAAATGGGGAAAAAAGAAAAATATCAGAGTATTGGAATTTGTCCTTGAATCTCCTCTTTTAGTTTTCTTTCAGTTAAACCAGTGTCCACATGTTTGTTTCTGGATTGAAGCCAGAATCAACATTGTCCCTATTTCTAATCAAATAATGGAGAAATAATGACAAATTCTGAATGCAGTCAGAGGATCCTGGGAAGCAGAGTGTCTGGACGGAGGCTGAGCTGGGTCTCTGACTCATTTCTGACTTTAGGCAAGTTATTTAATGTCTCTGCATTTTTGACATGCTTGTAATAATGCTAATTTATTTCACAGGTGTGATAGTAACCAAAACTCAAGTAACAACCACTAGCTTTTGCAAGAAGTCAGGTTGACTAGCAAGAAGTCTGCTTCTACAACTTGGAGAAGAGATTTAGAATTATGTATCTTTTCTATTTCCTTTACATTTTGAATGAATTGGATGGGAGTTTGATGTAAATGATAGGTTTGCAGTTTCAGTATAAAAATTAAAAATAAAATGGACTATATGACAATTTTCACTTCAGAAGTAAAAACTTCAGAAACATTTTTCTTTACTGCATTTCTTGGGGGATCAAATATATTTAGCTTTGTAAGGCTTTCAGTGAGTATGGATTCTTAAGAAAAATGCAAAAGCACAGTTATATTCCATTTTCAGAAAGAGGAAAAAATTTGGAAGGAAATAGCTTAAAAGGAGTCTCTAAGCTTGTGTTTATGGGTAAATTTTTAACTCACTGACTTAGGTTATAGTCCATTTGTGAATGTTAACTTATTAAACATACTTCCTTCAATAACTTTTTCCTTCCTTATTGTTTCTTTTATGTATCCTATTATAATGGCTCATTTAAAACATACCAATTTTGAAATGTTTACATTCTACTAATGTACTTCTGTTTTGTAATTGTTTTTTAAAATTACATATTATCTGTAGAACTTTTCATTTACAAATTTAATGTCTTCATCTTTAAATTTAATGCTTTAATGCAGTGTAATTAATTAAATATCTTCATCTTTAAATTTAATGCAGTGTAATTAATTAAATATTTTTTTAAATGTAGTGGGGAAGGAATTAGAATTTATAGCATTAAAATAATTTATGTCAAATAATATAGTCCACTAAAGAACAGCCATTTGAGAACAATTTTAATTTTATAATAATTAAAAGTCTCCAAACTGCCTAAAGCAAAAATATTATAAAAGAAATACAACTAATTGTGCAATAAATGAACAGAATAATTTGATACAACTTTATCATAAGCCAGATGTGCAGAATAAATAGTGGTTTACTATCATGAATGATGGAGACCAGAGTCTTGAAACAAATTCTTAATACCTAGCATTTCTTCAATATTACAGAGAATGTTGGCTAGAATTACAAATGAGGAAAATGGGAAATTTTAGAGAACTTAAGATAGTCTCAGGAATTATTCTAAAGCTAATCAAAGTAATATAATGACTTTCTAAATATATATAATTACATTTTGAAATACTTTATTGTTTATATGCTGCCAGACTAGGGGGTGCCTTTTTGATTTGATTATTGAATTATCTTAATGGCAATGAGATGAACATTTCTGGATATCAAGAAACAGAGGCCTGTCAAAAAAATTTCATTAGCCCTTTATTTTGTACTAAATCTAATGCTAAGCAACATTTATATACCTTATATAAATATATATAATATCTATAATATATACATAATTATTGTAATAATTTTATGTACATACGTACACATTTATACATACAGTGTGCGTAGGTAAAATTATATGATATATAGGTGCATCACCCAGAGCATTTTCTTTTATTTATTTATTTGTTTATTTTTTGAGATGGATTCTTGCTTTGTTGCCCAGGCTGGAGTGCAGTGGCACGATCTCGGCTCACTGCAAGCTTCGCCTCCCGTGTTTACGCCATTCTCCTGCCTCAGGCTCCCGAGTAGCTGGGACTACAGGCGCCCGCCACCATGCCCAGCTAATTTTTTTGTATTTTTAGTAGAGATGGGGTTTCACCATGTTCACCAGGATGGTCTGAATCTCCTGACCTCATGATCCGCCCGCCTCGGCCTCCCAAGGTGCTGGGATTACAGGCATGAGCTACTGTGCCTGGCCACCCAGAGCATTTTCAAAACATACTTTCATTTATGCAACAGCCAGAATCAAACACTGGAATAAAAAAAATTTTTTTTTAAGCTCTAAGTGTTTTTTGTTGTTGTCATTTGTTTGTTTTTTGAGACGGAGTCTCACTCTGTCACCCAGTGCAGTGGTGTGATCTTGGCTCACTGCAACCTCTGCCTCCCAGGTTCAAGCGATTCTCATGCCTCAGCCAACAGAATAGCTGGGATTAAAGGTGTGTGCCCCCACACTTGGCTAATTTCTTTGTATTTTTAGTAGACTGGGTTTCGCTATGTTGGCCATGCTGGTCTCGAACTCCTGACCCAAGTGATCTGCCCTCCTCGGCCTCCCAAAGTGCTGGGATTACAGACGTCAGCCACCACACCTGGCTAAGCTCTAAGTTTTTAAGCTAATATATTCACTTCTGAAATAAAGTACTTGATCCCACAAATGCATAAGAAAACTCGAACCAAATAAAAAATAATTTCAACAAATAGCATTAAAGCAAAGTCTAAAAGATACAGACATTTCATGACTTTTCATTTTTGACTCCTGAATATGAACTGGGAGTGGATTAAAATAATGAAGATTTATTTCCTATCACATAAAAAAAAAGAGGACATCATTTTTATTTCTGATCCTTAGCAGTTTCATTTATCAAGGAAATATCCTAATCAGTAATCCATTAAATACATTGGCTATTTTCAGTCAGAAGAACAATTTGAGTTAGAGTCACAAATAAATGGTATTTATGTCATATCATTACACTGATTTCCCAGACTAGTGTAAATATAGTTAGTGAAAGTCTCTTTTATTTCTTTAGGCAAACAATTTTCCTTCTCTGAGCCTCGTTTCCTCTAGTGTTGATGATATTTGACTGAATGATGTCACTTCCTTTAATTATGTTTTGTGTGCATGTTCTAGCCTCAGGGAATAAGGCTATTTCTAAAATCTCTTTATATGTTTTTAAAAAATATTTTGTTTTCCATCTTTATTTTTTTTTGCTTCCTTATAATAAAATGTTTTTGTTTCTTATTTTCTGTAACATGAAAAATACTTTATGATTTTATGTCTGTGACTATGCAGTTGATTGATTATGTTTAAGAAATCTCTATTTGCGTAAGGGCATTTATTGTTTTCCTTTTTGCTTCTTGAGTTTTGTGATAAATTTTAAAATTACATAGTTAAAGACACCAGGGTACGAATTTAAAAAGCAACATAGCTATTATAATTTTGCTCAAAAAATATATTTATTGCCAACTGAAAACATGAGTCAAACTAAAACCTTATTATGAGATAGCTATGGTAATGACCTTGGCCCACTGAGACAGCCAACTTTAAATATCTTAGGTATTATATTTTCAGTTATATATTTTCTTTTGGGATTTTATAAATCCAAATATCTTTTTTAAACCAAAATAAGTTATCACATATCAACATGACGTATTTGCAAATCACAAAAAACTTTATGAAAAGCGTAGTTCATTAAGAGTTCTTAGTTATTTTTGTTGTTGTTGGAAGGGTGAAGAAGGAGGGAATCTGATAAAGACATAACAACAAACACAAAATAATTTGATCTGCGATAAGCAACTGTGAAATTACAATAACAGATCCTGGGAAGTTCTACAATCCTAATTTAGGTTTACAAGTTTTCTTCTCATCTATTCAATAGATATTTTGTTGAGTACCTGTGCTAGGTTCAGTTGTGCCCCCCAAAATATGTTCATTCCTAACTTTTATTACCTGTGAATGTGATCTCACTTGCAAATAGGGTCTTTGTAGATGTAACTAAGTTAAGATGAGGTCATACTGGATTAGGGCAGACCCTAATCCAATGACTGATGTCCTTATATGAGGAGGGAAGTTTAGACACAGGGACACACAGAGGAAAGACAGCCACGTGAAGATGGTATCGGAGAATGGAGTGATAGTGCCACAAGTCAAAGGATGTCAAGAATTGCTGGCAACCACTAAATGCTAGAAGAGGCCAGAAAGGATTTTCTCCTGTAGACTTTGAAGGAAGCGTGGCCCTGCTCTTCTTGATTTTGGACTTGTATCCTCCAGAACTGTGAGATAATAACCTCCTCTTGCTTTAGGTCACTCAGTTTATGGTAGTTTGTTATGGCAGGCTCAAGAAACTAGTACAGTACCTAACTATCCACCCAGCATTAGGGCAGTATATATAATAGATGTAGCCCCTCGCCACTTGGCACTTACATTGTAGATGGTGGTTGGAGTGGGTAGACAATAAACACATATATTATAATATTTCATTATATTTGATGATAAGTGCTAAGGAGAAACTTAACCCATTGTAATAAAGATACGGAGTGTCTGGGTGATGTTGTTTGCCTGTGTCTCCACCCAAATCTCATCTTGAATTGTAGTTCTCATAATCCCACATGTTGTGGGACGGACCCGGTGGAAGGTAACTGAATCATGGGGGCAGCTACCTCCATGCTGCTGTTTTCGTGATAGTGAGTTCTCCCCAGATCTGATGGTTTTATAAGGGGCTTTTCCCCCTTTTGCTCGGCACTTCTCCTTCCTGCCATCATGTGAAGAAGGATATGTTTGCTTCCCCTTCCACCATGATTCTAAGTTTCCTGGGGCCTCCCCAGTCATGGCAAACTGTGAGTCAATTAAACCTCTTTCCTTTATAAATTACCCAGTCTCAGGTAGTTCTTTACTGGGTAAATTTATAACATGAGAATGGACTAAGACAACGGGGAACAGTTTTTATTTTATACGTAGTAGTCAGGGAAGGTATCTCTGGGAAGGGAATACCTGAGCAAAGACCTGGAGGATGTCATGGAGCAAACCACAGAGATTTTCAAAAGTGCATTCCAGGTAGAGAGAACAGCAAGCGCAATCGCCCTGAGAAGTCTGTGTATTTCAGGGTGTTTCAAGAATGCCAAAGAGGCATATGTAGCCAGAGCAGGCAAAAATGATGGGAAAGGAGGTATGCTGGGGAGATGAATGCTCACAGATTATGTAAAGCTTTGCTGTTGGACGACCAAATATCCCGGTTTGCCCAGGAAAGGTTCAGTATAGAATGTTGTCTCATTGTAATTCTAAAAAAATATTCTGGCCGAGGCAGGCGGATCACGAGGTCAGCAGATCGAGA